GGAGGAGGAGGAGGAGGAGGAGGAGCCCCCCCCTATATCGCTGCCCCTGCAGGATCTGTTCGCCGCCCGTGCTTCCCTCGTCCCCTCCGCCGCCACGGCCGGAGCCCGCCTCGGGCTCTCCCTGGGCCGGGGCGCGCCCCCGACGGAGGGGCCCCCCTCGACCTCCACCTCGCGCGCCTCCTCTCGGGCGGCAGCTGCCGCGCGGCGGCCTCGGCGGTCGTTGCTGCCGCGCAGCCGAGCGGCGGGGCTGCCCGGTGCCTTCCGGCCCTCCCTGCCCAAAGGCCGGTGCCGCCGCGGGCGTGCGGGCCGCGGGGGCCGCCGCGGCGGCGCCGCGCTCGGAGGTGGAGGCGCGCAGGGCGGCGCTGGAGGCGCAGCTGGCGGAGCTGGAGCGCGAGCTGGGCGCGGAGCGCAGCGGCGCGGAGGCGCTCGGCGGGCAGATCGCGGCCGCGCAGGCGGAGATGCAGGCGTCCGGGCACAGCAGAGAACCACAACCACTCCTCCTCTTCCTCCTCCCCCTCCTCCTCCCCCTCCTCCTCCTCCTCCTCTTCCCTCCTCCTCCGCATCCTCTTCCTCCTCGTCCTCCTCCTCCGCCCCGCCGCCAAGGGAGAATCCACTGGCCTCGGCACCAAAACATTGGTTGTGGTCGTTGTTGATTTGACAGTCCTGGGACGCCGCGCCGACCACAGCCAGCACTGAGCTGGCTTCGGTGCTCTGGCGATCACTGGCACGCGCAGGGCTTCGTTGATGGTGAGCCCTCGATGTGGCTATGGTCGCTCGCTGCCCCCGCGAGGCGGCAGTGGACGAGCACGGCGCCCTGTCGCGGCAGGTGGCCGAGGCGCGGCGGCGCGCCGCGGAGCTGCAGCGGGAGGCGGAGCGCCTGCAGGCGGCGCTGCGCGCGGCGGGCGCGGGCGCGGAGGCGGCGGAGGCCTCGGCGGAGGAGGCGGCGGCGCCCGCGGGCAGGCCGCCCGCGGGCGAGGGCGGCGCGGAGGCCGCGGCGCCGCGGGAGCGGTCGGAGGCGGAGGAGGCGGCGGCGAGGGCGCGGCTGCCGATGCACAGGGCGTGGCTGCTGCGGCTGGACGCGGAGGGGCGGGAGCTGCGGCGCAGGGGCGCGGCCTCGGGGGCGCGGCCCTGAGGATCGAACTCTCGCGCTCGCGCCCCCGTGAGCCTCCAGAAAGAGGGGGCGACGGCCGCGGCGACACGGCCACCGCGACCGCAGCGATGGCGATGATGACCACCGCGACGACGTGGACGGCATCGGCGACGATGGCGAGGCAGTGGGTGACGACGGCGATGGACGACGGACGAGCGAAGGGTGCTGACCACGACGAAGAAGAATCACTAGCAATAATAAGAAGAAGCGGACAGCGACGAGTATTATTAGTGATAACATGGGCACGAGGACACACGTACCAACAAGCATGATCATGAACGGACAGTGCGAATCCTTTCCCGTGCAGTGCTTGCACCTGGGGCGTTCTCACCTCCTGGCCCGAGGAATCCCAGTGACCTTGGCCCGACGGGCGGTCCTGCGGCTAGCCAGTCGCTGTCGCCGCCCCGTCGCCGCCTCGTCGCCGCCCGCCGTCTTGGGCCTGACGGTCGGTCTGGCGGCCATGCTGTCGCCGTCGCCGCCCCGTCGCCGCCTCGTCGCCGCCCGCCGTCTGGGCCTGACGGTCAGTCTGGCGCCTATGTTGTCGCCGTCGCCACTCGTCTCTGCCGTGGAACAGCTTTGCATGGCCCCGTAGTGCTCTGCATTGCTGTGCACTGCTGTGCATTGCTTGTCTTGCTTTGCGTTGCTCTGCGATGCATTGCCTTACATTGCTTGGCATTGCTTTGCATCGCTTTGTATCGCGTTGCATCGCGTTGCGTCACGTTGCGCCACATGGGTTGCACCACGTGGAGTGCACCGCCTAGATTGTACCACATTGTTGCACCACACCACCACCACCAGGACGACACCGACGACGACGATGACGACGACGACGCTGATGTCGCTAGTGAGGGCAACGAGTCTAAAACACCACCATCATCGTCGCAATTCTTCGGGCAACGCGGGTGGGTGCGGGTGGGGGGGCCTGGGTGGAAACGGCGAGTTCTTCCCTGAGCTCCGGTTCAGCGGCAGAGCATGGCCACCGAGGATATGGATTGATGGTGGCCAGGTGGCTGGTTGGCCTCGCTCGCTCGCCCCCCACCCCGTGCTGCCAACTGGCGGTCCACGGCAGCTCTCCGAGCACCCCGGCTCCCTCCGCGTCCGGATTGTCAACGGCACCGTAACGGGTACTTACTAACGGGCACTTTGAATGTTTGCCGAACGTTGCCACTTTAGGGCCTTTTTCTTGCATTGCAGCTTTGCCCACATCGGGAAGGGCTGGGTTCGCTGGGTCACTGGCCAAAGTACCCGTTAGTGGAGTCCCCGTTTGAGGGGCGCTGAGATTGGCGGCTGATGGTAAGCGCCCGCCTAACCATGATGATGCGGTCCTTCAGAGTTCCAATGGCACGGCATCGACGTTACACTGGTCGGCGTTTTGCGTATCCCCACTGGCGCCTTCGGGGGCCCTCTGGGGCTGTATGGGAGCCTTTCTGGGTCCCTCTAGGGGCCCTCTGGGGGCAACCTTCAGGCCTTGGAAACCATGAGGAAAAGAAAGTGCGGGACGGCACAAAAATTTAGCAGAATGAGTCTTTGAATGAGTTTAGCCTCTTGATTGCGTAGTTTGGAGACTTCCAGGCCTTTTGGGGCCGCCTTGGGACCGTTTTGAGGTGCGTTTTGGAGGCATGTCGAAGGCTATTCATTATGGCCCATCTTGTGCTATTCATGATGGCCCATCTCCGTAGCCATTTTGGCTCAAGCGCAGAAGTTCTTGCCAAATCGCCCCCCTCTCTCTCCGCCCGCCGCCGCCGCGGCGAGCCATGGAGAGAGAGGGGCGAGAGAGGGGCCATCGAGCCAAATCGCCCCTCTCTCGCCCCTCTCTCTCCGCCCCTGCGCGCGCCATGGACCCTCCCGCCGCCGCCGCGGCGAGCTCCGTGCTGGCGCCGGGGCTGGCCCCCTGCGCGCCTCGGGTCCCCGCCCTGGACCTCGCCGCGGTGGCCGCAGGCCGCGGCCCCTCTGGCGGATCCTGGGCGGAGCCGTGCTGCCAGGACCACCCGCCTCACAGGCTGACGGCGCGCGCGGCGTCTCCGCGGCGGGGCCTTGGCCGCAGCGTGGCGCCGGCCCTGCGGCGCCTCCGGAGCCACGCCCTCGGGGGCCCGGCCGCTTTTTGGCACCGGCACTATGCGCACTGCCCCGCGACGGAGTCGCTGCTTTTCCCCGGCCTGACCGTGGCGAGCCCGCGGCGCTCGGGAGGCGGCCGCGCGGGCGGCGGGAAGGTGGCGCCCAGGTTCGCGGCGACTTCCACCACCATGGCCTCCGACGCGTGGGCCAGGGCTCGAGAGCTGGAGGGGGCCGCCTCCGATGGCGATCGCTGGACGGTGGATGCTACCAGCCTGGACGGTGGATGCTACCAGCATGGGGACGTAGGCTGCCCGTGTGGCGATCGTCGTTGCCAGCAGTGATTGTGCATACGGTCGCCAGGTGCATCTGGTCGCGCGGTTTTGCATCAAAGCCCTGGCCGGAACTATCTTGTGCATGTTGTTGCCAGGTGGAGCCCCGGCTACGTCGCTGAGTCGAAGCTGCCTGCAATGCCGAAGCGTTCCAGAGAGGCATTCCATGCACGACTTAGGACCGCTTCTGATTCACAATCAACACTTTTCCAGCCGAGTCCAGTATTCCAGTATTGAACCAGGCCTAGTGCTCGATCGGGGATTGTGTGTTGCCAGCAGTGTAGCCCGTGCCGTCCTACGGTGCAGTGCCGTGAGCGGCAGATAGGGCGACAAAGGCCACCTCATGGGCATCTGTCGCAGCGCCGTGCCGCGGACTGTGACCGATTGCAGATTTGTGTAGATGTCTCTGATCTGTATGATGCTTGTTGCTGCTATCCCTCGGCTTCATCATCGTGTGGCGCTTCACTTTTGGCGGGCGGGTGCCATTTGCTCTCCCGTCGGCTCTGGGTGTGTTCGCCTTCTGCGGGAACGTAGTGCAGTAATTCAATGGCTATCTCATGCCACGAGGCTCACGGAAGCCGACCTCGTCATAGCCAAGTGTTCGTGGCAGCGGCTTCGCTCCATCCTGGATGATGTCCAGAATAATTATTGCTCGCGCAAAATCGATTCGTGTATCGTCGTTGTCGCCAGTTATCCAAGTTCGATTTGGCCATGTACATTATGATCGGCCAGCTTGCACCCATCATGCGTTACTGGTGGAGGGGGAACGCTGGGAGGGCTAATCAGATTCTGGATACATGTGATCTTCGGAATTGGGGGACAAACACGTTCAACCATTGATTGGGTTGATCAACGCAAGCGAACTTGATAGTGCATTGGCGCATGGGTAGGCTTGAACAATGCAAGCATTAGCATCCGTTTGCAGCTACTGATTGGTACCTGTTATAAAAAATGTGTGTCACAGGTGACCGTCTCTGCGACTGCTGCCGCAGTGACTTTTGCACCGCATTGTTTTGGTAGACCCTACCTGCAGGACTCGCCCGCAGCGTGCCGTACGTCGCATCGACTTTCGGAACCAAGTGGCAGAGTACGGCCAGCTTTTTTTTTTTTACCGACAACCGTTTTTTAAGCACATTGGCCAGGTGCTACAGAGTATCCTTTCCCCCCTCCCCCCCTCCTGCTCTCCTCTGCCTGGGCCCTGGCCTTGCTAGGGGCTATGTGTTAGGCTGTTCACCCCTCGTTTTCCTTATGTTCGCCCCGTCTGTTCCTCTGCCTTCCATGCTATTGTTGTGCACATGCTGAACCTCACATCTCGGCCTCGCCACGAGGTTAGATTCCCTGGGCTCTGGGTCAGTGAGCGCCTGTCGCGCCCCTGGCCGCCGTGTCGTTTCACCAGGCGTAGCCACTGGGAGCGGTGCCGCGCCTCTGGATGGGGAGGGGGGTGCGCATTGGCGAGCTTCCGCACGCAGCCAGTATGAGCTAGAACCGCGGCCAAGACTCCCCTCGAGCGGCGCTGCCCGGGTTCGGCGGCGATTTCTGGGCGGCGTGCCTTGGCAACTCACACCTCAGCATCGCAGCAGGGGTAGTAAGGGGTGTGTGACACCACTGCCTGGTCCCTTTCGGCTGCCGACCCAGACTTGCTCTCGCTGGGGAGCTCCGTTTCATAGCGACGGGGCCAGGCGCAGGAGTAGCCGGCGCGCGCACCCCTGACGCTGCCAAGTTTGCGCATTCGCGTGTGCAGAGCCCCTGCCACGTCATTTTCAGAGTCGCGACGGTTTGCGCGCCACAGACAGACCACATGCCGCTGAACCAGGGAATGTGCTGCACAGCCGTGCGGGTCGACAAATCGCAAGTTGCTGCTGCTGCCCGCATCGTTTCCGAGCCCCCCCGGTCACGTCTCCTGCTGCCCTCGGGCTGGCTCTTCCGGCCGAGAGGTCCAGAGATCTAGCGGCGCAATTTTGCTAGAGAAATCGTCGCCAGTGCCAGTGCACGATCTTTTTTGCATCCAAATGTGCCGTGCCTCGGTGCACTTCGCGAAATTCGGGCTCGCAGTGCTGCTGCTGCTCGGCAAGAGGATTCCGCTGTCGACCCATGCTTAAGATGTGCAGTTTCCTCAAGGATTGTAACTGGCTGATGGGGGCGCTAACAGTCCTTATTTTAAGAGATCCTAAGTTCGGAAAAAAAACAAATCTTGTGCTATCTTGTGCAGTCTTGGAGACAAACTCAGAGTGACTGTGAACATAGTGGAACTATCTTGGCCAAGACGCATCCCAAGAATACCATCGGTATAGCAGCAGCAATCAACCACGTGTTTTCAGTGATCCTGATTATGAGATCGGAGAGATCGTCTAGCCCCCCTCCTTCCCCGTCGGTACCAGACAATCACCTCCCAGAGCCGTCTTGGGACGTTCTTGGGGCGCTCTCGGGGGCCTTCGGGGGCGTCTTGGAGCCCTTTTGGGAACTCTTAGCTGTTAGGGCTCGCTTGAACAGTTTTGATTGTTTCATTGCTTGATAGATGTTAGTCCATTAGGGGTATCCCTGGGAGGCATCGTAGCCACTTGTCCTGCTTTGGAGCAGTTCGTAGAGGCATGCTGGACACCATCCCGAGTCATCTTGGACGTTCTTGTTCCATTTTGGAGGTCATATCGGGCAGATAATGCCATATTTGAACTCGATTGGGCACCCGCTCTCTCGAGACCCAGAGGCGGGCGGTGGGGGTATTAGCAAATCCGTCCCATCCCCGAAAGCCAAGAAGGGGATTGGGAGGTGAAGCGTCCTACATGACCTGCGCCCTCATGGCTGGTGAGATTTGTTGCATCGGCATCGACGCCCTTGCCTGACTCTGAGGATATTCGCCCCAGGCCAAGTACACTATTAGCAGCTGAACGGGTCCCGCCAGCAGTGCCAAGGCCTGGACTATCCCCAGGGCAGGTTTGGCAGGGTTGCCTCTCCCCCGGAGTGTGATCATGCCCACGTGTGTTGAATCAAAGCGTCCTCACTAGCAGTGCTGTAGCCGCTTTGGTTGAAGCAGCTGGTATGTGGCTCAGATCGCGGACCTCGTCCTGAAGGATTTTCCAGGCTGGCCGCACGGTGAAGACGTGAATACGTTGGCGTTGTCCACACCCGGCGAGAGTAAGCAGGCGAAGCATACAGGTGGCGGGTCCAAACTGAGAAGCGACGCTCGTTTCAGCATGCGCTGTTCTATTCAAATGATTGTTGGGTCCTCCTTAGAAGAAGAGTCGGTGATTCGCATTTCTGCCGCCACATAATAGGTAGAGCGAGGCGTCCTTTCTGGAGGGTGTGCACGAGATGCGAAATTACGAACGCTAGGGTCGTATTTTGCCAGTGTTGGTGCTCGCGTTGCACGACCAGGCCCGCACATAAAGACTCGCGAATAATGGGGGTGATATGCAATGTCATCCGTCGGATTAATCAGCGCGTGCGAGATGAGTACGGGCCGCTTTCGCAAAGGATCACGGCCACCACAGAAGAGGTGACGCTATTCAAGAATTTGCTTCTGAGCAGCCAGGGCACGGTCCAGCGTGGCGCCGGCCACCCCCCCTGTCAAAAAGTTGGCCTCCAATGTCCGAGCATTTTCTTTGGGTGGAGGGCAAAGGGTGAATCGATGTATGTTCGAGGCTTGAATCTGCAAAAGGTGAATCACGAGACGGCCTGGTCTTCGAGGTGCACACGCCCATATGGATTTCACCCTGTGCCCTCCTCCCGAAGAGAATGCTCAGGATATCCGCCTGCTTGCGGAAAGTTTCGCCGCCTTGCTGGTGCGGCGCTCGGAGCGGCGACCCGTCGAGCGCCGCGCAGCAGGCTGTCGCGTGCGATGGCTGTCGTCTGCAGCCTTGGGAGGGCTGTGGCGTTCTTCCTGCCTCCGCCGTTGTCCCCGTCCGCTGCTATTTCAAGGGAGGAAAACCACCCAGACCGGACAATTGGCGTTTACGAAACGGCCCTGGGCGTTTACTAAAATGCCTTGCCCCGTTCGATTCCTTCTTTGGGCGCGTTTACTAAACGGCCTCGCGTGTCGGGATGGTTACAGTCGGGGTTCTGAATAAGGAACCCTTTTCATTGGGGAGGGGCTCCGTGTTCCTTCATTGTTTTTCATTTTGCCCAAGGTTATCCTTGGATTTTCGATGGGAAGTCGAAGTTGAACTTCTGGAGAACAGGGGCCTCGTTCCTTATTTTGGGTTCCTTAGGTCAACGCCCCGACGGTATTATCGGGGTGGATTTTCTGCCCTCTACTATTGTCCCCTCCATCTTTGACTCCATTCGCCCGAGCTCCCCCTTCTTCGTGTCCGTCTTCGTGGTCTGACGGGGCGCTCTTGGGCGGCCCCGAGATCGCCTTTGGGTCCTGTCCTGGGCTGTCCTGAGGGCCTCGCAGGGCATCTTGGGGCCTTCCGTGGGGCTCCTTGGGCTGTTGCAGGGTTCTTTTTGGCCAGCGGTGCCCGTTTTGAGCCCCTCTCGGGGCCCCCTTGGGGACCCCGTGGAGCCATTTCGGTGCCCGTGAAGTTCTCTCTTCCGGCCCTTGCGCGCCCTCTGTGGGCCCTCTTGGGGCCCTCCTGTGCTTCCTTGGAAGATTCGATCCCGTGTTGACAGAAGCCCATTCTTTTGCGACCCTGGATGGGGGGCGTATGGGCGTCCGTTTGGGAAGAGGATGGCGCTCTTAGACACTTTGCAACACATCTACCAGCCAGCGCTGGGCATGACATCTTACAAAATCCCTACTGGTACGCACAGTGGCGGATCTGGATCCCAACATACGGGCTGCCAGTGCGTCCTAAATGTTGGCCGGCGATGCCGAACTTTGAGGCTTCGCGAGGAAACTTGATGAGAGGGGGGGTGATTTATCTGTGGGGCGAGGCGAGCCAGTCGTTGAAACTCAATCTCGGTGTGCTTCACCACTCCAGGGCCGAGACCCACCGCTACTACATCGAGGACAAGCACCAGCAAATGGTGCGTGACGCCGATGCGCGGGTCAATGGGTTCATGGGCCTGGACCGCGCGAGGCGTCGCGCGTAATAAATAAACGAGAAGGGTTTTTCCATCTGTGTCCTCGGGGGTGAGAAGTGGGCTTTGTCCCGGGAGGCCCACATGTACACATTGTTGCCATAGCTGCAGGAGGCCTGCCCGCCCAGCCAGCCGGGAGTGACAGCGCGGATGCCGTTCGTTTTTCTTTTGCGTGCTCGATCGACGATCTTGTGGAGACCGTCCAGGGGCTGAGAGGATCCCGGGGAATGGGCTAGTCAGGAAGCAACAGTACCAGGCTGCCAGCGAGAAGTGGGGCGTCGCGACTCGTACGGGCCAGAGAAGGCCCGAATTGTCGGACATGGGTGGCATGCGATGCTCAAGCTCGCGGGGAGCTCTCGTGGCCTGCTCGTCGAACTCGGCGCAGTGCAGCCTGCGATTGCCGCGCCCCTGCGAGGCGAAAGGCGCGTGCGAGGAGGCGCTCCGCATGGACCCGCGGCGTGGCATGGCGTCGCGCCGACGTTTGCAGGCGCGCAGGGACCTGAAGCAGTGGGAGGATCGAGAAACGTCAGGCCTTGAGCAGAAGGCAGGGATAGCCCAGAGTTTCTGTCGGCAGAGAAGCTGGTCGGCGAGATCCGGTTGCTCGGCCAGAGCTCGGATTGGGAAGGGCAGGTGAAAGACAAACATCTCTCTGGTCAGACGCTGTGAAACACCGAGGACGCGCCGTCAAGGATGCGACGCCGGTCTTGGATTCGTCCTTGTGGTCAGCCAGCAAATTATTTCTTGCGACGACAACGGCAACGCCCAGGGGTGCCGCGAGAAGTCCGAGTTCGTGGACATGGTCCAGCGCCACTTGCAGAACCTCTCTGGGTCTTCGTCGCCACGCGAAGGCAAACGGTGGCGAATCTCGCGGCGCCTGCACCCCGGCGATGGTTTTCCATTGCAGGGCAGGCTTGACATGGCGATCTGCCGCGGCCTTGCAGACGACGCCGGGCTTGCGGAAAGGAGATGGGCGCCCTTCGACCGGCTGGGCATCGAGAGATGCATCGGTCGGGGTGGCGGCGCTAGCAGCGTGGATGTATTCCGCATTGTGTTTCGCATTGCTGACAAGGTCCCGGCGAATAAAGTCGTTGGCGGTTTGGGTAATTAACCTCGTAGACCGAGGCCGCGCCATCTCCGACGCGCATCGGCTTTTCTCGGGATTTTACTTGCGCGTCCTGATGCGTTGGGAGTGCGCTGCCATCATTGATGACGCGAAGGGTTTGCAGCCGCGAGCATGCGCGGGCGGCGTTGCAGCCTGCGCGTCGGCTTGCAGCCTGGCCCGATGCCTGCATCGAAGCGCCCAGAATGCTCCAGTCGCTCATCGGCAAGTTGGGGAGACACATGGAGGTTCTCGGAAAGCCAGATGTGATCGGCACTCGCGCCCAGTATGGACGTGCGACGCAGGGGTTCATGGTCGTCTCGCACCCCAGTGACTTCGAGAGTGGGGCCCTGGATTCGCTCCAGAATCACTAGGCGCGGGCGGCGTCGAAGACGCGGAGAGGAACGCTGCTCCGAGAGCCCGGAAGCTGATGGCGAAGGGGCCCGCGCTCGATGAGCGCTGCGGGAGAGAGCTGGGCCGCGGGGCCAAGGCGCCCCGAGCGCTGGGCGAACGCGCCCTTATGCTGTCTGCGCTCGATGGGCAGTTCGAGGGCAGGCCGGTGGCCATGCCCCCCCGCACTCACGGTCGGCGCAATCGTCGGGCAGGCGAGCCAGTGTTCGCGCGTTCCGCCGGCCGGCTCGTCGAGCGGCTGGCCGATGTTGAAGTTGGAAGGAATGTCTCGGGATCTGGGGCGCGTCCTAGCCGCGCATGGCGATGCGCTACAAGGGCGATTGAGTTGCCCAGGCGCGCGCCGCGCGCGCCGAGGAGGTGGGGTGCCTGAAGTGCGAGCGCGATGCGCGGCTAGAGGCGCTGCGGGGTCGACGAAGGGAGAGGGGGGCCGAGTTCGCAGAGCGGGGGTGGGAACTCAATATTGCAGAGAGATGAGACACCGCAGTTTCTCGAATATTCTTTTCGGCGGGCTGGTGCGCGAGCGCGCGAGATGCTCCGCGTCGATGCCAGACAGCTGTCGCTCGATCATAGGACAGCCGCGCTAGCAGGCGAGGGTAATGTCTTGCTGGGGGATATGGAGGCGCGCGAAGCGTCCATGCAAGCCTTCGAGGAGAGACAGCGACGCCGCGCGGGTGCGCGCGGGGGGCTGGAGAGCGCGTCGGAGGCCGTCCGCAGGCAATCCGTACTGCCATCGCACTGGGCGTCGTCGGCCGCCAGCTGCGACGGGCTGGCGACGGCCCCCATCCACGAGCGCGAGGCGCCGGAACTGTCGCAGCGGCTCCCCGAGGTCGCGCGGGGCCTGTGCGTCGGCAAGGACTGCGTCCGCAAGAGCGGGCGGCCCGACTCCCGGATCGAGGTCAACAGGGCCTGGCCCGTGGAAAACCCGGTTTAGTGGCGGAACTAACCCGCAGAGATGCGCCGTGCGATGTAGGGTGATGGGGTCGCTTGCATGTCCGTCGCCTCTGGCTGGGCCCATCCTGGGCCAAGGGGCGGTGCGCGCCGTGGTCAAAGCCAAGAGCCCGTGGCGAAATCCGAACCCTACCCTCGCTTATCCACGATTCAGGCAATTCGATGGGCGGCGGGGGTGGGGTTCGAAATTCATCGAACACGCGGCGATATCCTAACCTCCCCCCGCTTCTCATCGATTCAGGCGAATCGAGGGTTGGCAGTTGCGCGGTCTGGATGGCGTCGCCTACGGGCGCATGCGCCCCGCTCCTGGGCCCAGGGTGGGCCGGGCCAGTGGCGGTGGGCAAGTTTGGATTTCGCCGCGTTCTGAGGGATCACCTGCGCGCGGCGCGCGCGGCCTTGCTGCGATCCTCAGGGGCTTGGCATCGGCCGCCGCGGCGCTGCCGCGCGAGATGTGCGGGGGCGTCAACGAGGCCGTCTTGCCGCGCGGGACGCGGCCCGAGACGGTGTTCTCGATTGTGCGCTCCGACGTGAACGAGCGTTTCACGTCGCGCGGCCATTTCGGTTATGGATCCTACCTCGTGGAGGACGCCGGCTTTTCCCTCCACCCCTCCCCTCCCCGCCCTTCCCTTCCCCGCCCGCCGGGGCCCGCGTCGATCCGATGGCGCTGCGATGCATGTCGGAGCCGCCGAGTCAGCCCGATTCCGGCTCTGAGCCGATGCGGTCCGCTTCGGTGCAGTGTCCGATCAAACCAGACTGCTGGATTCAACGTTGAGCGGTCTGGCCCGTCCTTTCCCCCGCCCGCCCCCACCATTCCCCCCCCCGTTCCGCCCCCTGCTCCGCGCCTGGGCGCCAGCGAGGCAGACCGGTGTGCGACGCGGGGCCGGCGTCGCCAGGATGGCGCGCTCGCGGCCTGCTGTGTCCAGGACGCGAGGACGAGCATAGGAGCGCGTACTGCGTTTTCGTCTGCCGCGTCGCTCTGGGCTATGCCGCTGGGTCGCAGAGTGGCGGATGGAATGCCGATGGTGGATCATCGCGTTTTCCCTTCCAGCAGGGAGGTCCGTTCATGGAGGGAGCTTGGCGGCGTTGTCCGGCACACATCTATTTCTCTTGTGCCGCAGTTTGGTGATCGAGACCACGCCCGAAGAGAACTTGATCTCAAATTTGCGTGCGGGTGATCGCCGCGTGTCGAAGCACCGCGATTTTACATTGACACAGACTTACAGGGTTTATCCAGCATGCTTGTTAGCCGTGCGGAGGCTCATGTAGTGGGAAGACTTTGTGAGAGAACCAGACGGCTACCCCCAAAAACAGCATCATCCTTATTTGTGTCAAGCGAAGCCAGAATGGTGGAACACCAGCGGGGGTTGCGGTGTTTTGCTTTCCCTGTCACTCCATATTGTCGTGTGCGCCTCCTGCTCCAGGGCGGGCGCTGGGCTGGATTCCTGGGGTTCCGTGGGGTAAGCGGGGCCGCGACGTCGGGCGGCGTCTCCACGGGCTTTGCTGCGGGCGCCTATAGTTGATTAACATGTTGCCCCTCGGCGGTCCGTTGGCACGCGAAAAAAAGCGAGCCCGTAGCGGGGGTTCATGGCGGAATATCAGTCAGGACATGCATCTAACAGCCCCAGGAATCCCCGAGCCCGAGAGAACCATCCTCGAAGACGTCCCCAGCGCGCCCCCGCGCCTGGGAGTAGCAGCCGCATCGGCAGAGTTCCGGCACTCCCGCACGGGGCCGGAGCGCGCAGATGGGGTGTCGCTGGGTGCCGCCGCATCGCCGATGCCTGCCCGCGGCGGCGCGATCCCTCGGCCTCGTCTGCGCACGCGGGCCCCGTGTCGGGCAGCCTGCAAGAGCAGGCGCGAGCGAGCGCCCAGGAATTCCTCGGCATCGCTCGGACGTGTGCATGTTCCCTTCGGCGAGGACCATCGAGGAGCATCCTTGATCCTTTGGCGAAAGACCTACGCACGAAACCGAAAAAAAACACACAGGGAATGGACGTCCGAGCGATGGCGAGATTCCCGCGGCGCCGTGGGCGCAGGCCGAGTTGAGCACGGCCTGCGCCGGCGGAGGCCTCGGCCCTGGTGCGCCCCTCCGCGTTTGTCCGCTCCTCGCCGCCCGCTCGCCGTGCCGCCCGCTCGCCCAGCCGTGCTGGCCGCAGTCGAGGCCGTTCCCGGCACTTCGTGCCGAGGCGGCCCGGCTCCGCCCTGGTTCGATCCAGGGCTCGCGCTAACGTTAAGTCGAGCCTGTCCCCCTACAGGGGGATTGTCGACGAAGAATAAGAAATACACCAAAAATAATCCAAAAATTCTCCAAACATAGTCTGGGGACAGTCGCATTTCTGGATCGTTTTGGAGTATTTTTTGAGCATTTTTTATTTATCGTCGAAAATCCCCCTGTAGGGGGACACGCCCGACCTAACGCTGACGCCGGCAGCGAGCGAGGGTGGGAAATTAGAAGGAGAAGGCCTTTTCAGAAGGCGGCGGGACTTCTCAGAAGCTCTCGCGCCTCCTGGGAGGTGTCTTGCGTCTTCGGGGAAGGCCGAGAACAGTTCTCAGAAGGCCAGGGGACTTCCGAGCCTTCTGAGAAGGCCCGCCCCTTACCACTTCCCTCCTCGGTCGCCGCCGATAAGAGGGTGTTGTGGAGATGTCGTGGGCCGTTTTCGCTTGGACGTTGCTCCGCAGCAGGGGCAGAGCGAAGACCTAGGGTGCATGTCCTGGGGCGTTGGATTTTGTCTCGGCGCGGGTATTTTCGCGGTCGGTACCTGGTAACATTTGAGCTGATCTGGCCCCGTCTGGCTCAATCCCGTTAGATCCGGCTTTATCAGGTTTTATTCCGGGCATAGTTCGGCCTGGTCCGGTGAGGTGGCCTGTTCTTCGGGCGCAAGCGCCTCCATCGTTCCGGCGAAGCCCTCCCAGGAGCTGCCTCCGAAGAAGACAGAGCGAAAGACAGCGAAAACAGCACGCAGACGAACAACCCTGTTTGCCTCCAGGCCTGCCCCCTTTGACCTCCACCTTCCGCACCCTCCGGGCGGCGGAGGCCACGCCGTGGCCGCCGCCAGCGCGGCCGCCGTCGAGGCCGCCGCAGCGGCCCTCGGCGGTCGCCGCAGCCGAGGCGCGGCGGCACCTGCTGCGCGGAAAGGTACGGAACGTGGAGGCCGAGGAGACCCAACGAAGGACAGCGAAAACACCACGCAAACGAAGCAAGGACAACACGAGAACGACGCCGAAACGAAAACGACGTCGAACAGCAGCACGGCAACGAAATCGGGGGTGGACAGAACCCCCAACGGTGACACGTCGATTAGTGAATTGTCCGTTTTCGGTTCTCGAGACGGTGCCGCGGCCGTTATTTTCCAGGCTTGCGCCCGCCAGGTTTGGGCCTCAGGTCGTTTTCACTAAACCACGTTTTACTAAAGGGGGGTCTGTCCATCCCCGACGAAAGCAAAACGCAACACGGCAACGAAAACGGAGACGAAAAACAACACGAAGACGCGGAACGAAGGAAAAGTCGACAGCAACACGACAGCGGAAAGCGCTGCTCAGCTCGAGCCCTGCCCCGCTCCGCTCCAGCTTGGCCTTTTTTTTGGGGGGGGGGGGGGGGGCGGGGGCGGTGCCCGCCGCGCCCGGCCTGCCTCGTGCCGCGGCCGCTGCCCCGCCGTGCCAGGCCGCGGTCAAGGCCAAGGGGGAGGCCAAGGCCAAGGCCAAGGCCAAGGCGAGGGCCGCCGCGCCCGCGGGGGCCAAGGCCGCGAAGCTGCCGCAGGCGAGCGAGAAGGACGGGCCGCCTCCGGGGGGAGGAGGAGGATGAGGAGGAGGAGGAGGAGGAGGAGGAGGAGGAGGAGGAGGAGGAGGAGGAGGAGGAGGAGGAGGAGGAGGAGAGAGGAGCGAGGAGGAGGAGGAGGAGGAGGAGGAGGAGAGGAGGAACGAGGAGGAAGTGGAGGAGGAGGAGGAGGAGGAGGAGGAGGAGGAGGAGGAGGAGGAGGAGGAGGAGGAGGAGGAGGAGGAGGGGAGGAGGGGGAGGAGGAGGAGGAGGAGGAGGAGGAGGAGGAGGAGGAGGAGGAGGAGGAGGAGGAGGAGGAGGAGGAGGAGGAGGAGGCGAGTGAGCGAGGGAGTGGCCTCTAAAGCCAGTCGGGCACTCGGGCCCTGGGGGGGGCGCTGGGGCCCTGGGGGGGGGCGCCTCCTCGGAGCACGCCGAAGACCAAGATGGCAAACTCCCGGAGGGGGTCGTGGAAGGGGGGCAGCCCGAGGCCCGCCCCGCAACCATCGCGAGGCCAGGCGCTCCTCGTGGCCGTGGTTTCGATCAGCGGATGTTGTCCCCCCTGGGTGCGCTCGAGGAGGGGGCAGCCCGAGGGAGCTGCCCCGTCGCCGACCGCGAGCCCCGCCGCCCTCGGGCGACGGGCCCAAGCACGAAGAACTGGCCAGCGGGCTCCATCGAGGCCCACCCGAGGAACTTCTGCAGGCTGCCCCCCTTCTGGAGGTACTCCGCAGGCGCCTTCGCGCCGTCGTCGCACACATGGCATCCGTTGACCCCGAGCTCTTTCTGCACCTTCGCCAGGTTGAAGGCCTCCGAGCTTGAGACTGCTCCGTCTCCAGCTGCAGGCCCGTGCAAAACCCTGATGACCGTGTCCGACTTGAGTCCTCCTCTTCCTCCTCCTCCTCCTCCTCCTCCTCCTCCTCCTCCTCCTCCTTCTCTTCCTCCGCCTCCTCCGCTCTGGGGCCTTGGAGGCCAAACGCTGGAGCGGGCGGCTTTCGGCTGTTCTCGGCCTGCTTGGGGCCCTCTCCAGGCCTCGTGGCCGTCAAAACCGACTTGGGGTGGAGCCGGCCCTACAGGGAAATGGTCCAGACTTCCGGGGTCCACGCATCGAACAATTTGGAGCAGTCGGATGATTGGGGTCAGTCTCGTTGAACCGATCCCCATCCCCATCCCCATCCCCATCCCCATCCCGAACCCCACCGTTTTACCACCCCAGTTGGGGAGGACCCCCCCCCCCGAAACCCTATGTAAGGCAGCGGCCCAGATCCCCATCTAGGGAGGTGTCGCGGCCAGTGGGGCCAAGGCCATGCCGTTGGGGATCGGGATTGGATCAACGATGCTCAGAGGGTTCGGAACAACTGGGCGGGTTGGATAAACGATTCTCTGAGGGGTTAGATAAGCGCTGCGCAGAGGGTTTGGAAACATCGGGGCGGGATGTTGGTCACAGTTTTCGGCCTCTGGGAGCCCTCACTGGGCCCTGGGACCTTTACACAACGACTCGGGGTGAAGGGCCGGTCCCGGGGAATGGGTCGGGATTTCGGGGGACGCCGTATAAAAAAAAGAGGACATCGCATGTCTGGGTTTGCCAGCTCTGCGACGACGACGAATCAGGAGGGAGGTGGAGTCGAGGAGGAGGAGGAGGAGGAGGAGGAGGAGGAGGAGGGATGTGGGAGGGGACTGCCTTGCCGACGCCTGCAAGTCTCAGACTATGCCCGCGAGGTCCTCCCGACTTTTCCGCACTTTCTTCGGACCGACCCTTCCCGTTTAGTCTGCCAAGGTGATGGGAATTAGAGCTGTTGTTCGCACGCGCAGGTAGTACTAAATGTATTATGTCTCGCCGTCTGACGTTTAGACGCTACGAACCCTGTCGCTCGGATTTTGGCCAACGCAAAAACTCAGGAATGCTACCCTTCCCCTGTTTTCGCTTATTTTGGGCCTCCTGGGAGGCCCTCGTCGCCACGGCTGGACTCGCCTCAGAAGCCTGGCCAGAACGCACCCCGTGAGAGGTCCCGGGAGTAGCGGTACCAGCAGGTTTTGGCTTCGCCAGCAGCTGTCGGCTGCGCGCACCCCGCACGCTTCGTGGCTCCATGGGGAGCTCCGCTGAGGGCCCCGGCGGCACAGTCCGCATGACGCATCCGCACCCGATTCGGCACACCACTCACGCGCTTCGTGGGCTCCATGGCGACCTCCACCGGAGGCCTCAGCAGCACTGCCCGCGTGGCGTACCCATACCCCATTCGGCTCCCCACCCCACCCACACGCGTTTCAGAGGCCCTGAAGGGCGGCTCCACCGCTCACGACTCTCGCAGCTGCGGCCCTTACAACTGCAGGTGGTCGGGTCCTTCGACAAGCTGATTGGGTTTCTCCCTCCCTCTCTCTCTCTCTCTTTTTCTTTCGCTCTCTCTCTCTCTCTCTTTGTTTTTCTCTCTCTCTCTCTCTTTGTCTCTCTCTCTCTCTGTCTCTCCGTTCCTCTTCCTCTCTCTGTCTCTTTCTCTCTCTCTTTCTCTTTCTCTCCTCTCCTCTCTATGTCTCTATGGTTTGTTAGTTCCCTCTCTCTC